TTTATTATTAGATTTAAGATTAATGTTATTTTTAAGAGTTTTTAAACATTTTGGAGCATATTTTGCCATTATTATAGGAGTTGCTAAAAAAGTCTTTTGGTTCTTAATTATAATAATAATAATCATTTGAAGCTTTCACATGCACTTTTTTTATTGTTGAAACCAAGTCAAGATGTTGCATTAGACAACAATTCATATAATCAAGATCCATTTCTTGTTCAGCTACCTGGTGACAATACAATATGTTTGCACAATTTCCTTCCTCAATTCTGGCAATGTTTAACTTCCTCGCAGGTAATAAAATTACATTTCATTGAAATAATAACCAAGTTAAATAATTTAATTTGATTGATTTTTTTATTAGGAGATAACGGAGCATTTGGAGCTTGGTCATTGCTAGATAATGCATACCTTACAGTATTGCTTGTTGCATTTTCATTCATAGTTGTGGTATACCTAATGAATCTATTCATTGGTTTGCTTAGCAATGAAATTGAAAATTATAATACAAAAATAGCATTCTTGGCTCAAAAAGCAAAAATTATCACAGAAATTGAATTATTTTATTTGCTTCCTAATCAACATCGTTGGAGAAACTGGTTTCCAGATATATTGTAAGTATATTAATAATCAATAAAGTCATTTTAGTAAATTCCTTTTAATAATTATTTTAAAAAAATTTTTTTTTTGTTAGACACTATGATGCATCAATTGCTGATATTCATAAAAAAATTAAAGAAATAGATGATAGCAATGAGGATGAAGAGATCTCCCATATATTTCTGATAAGCTTAGACAACTTGCTGGAGTGTCTGAAAAAAACAGAAAAAGGGTTTGATTCAAGATTTCAACAAATCGAAGATAAACTTGCTGAAGTGTCTAAAAAAACAGAAAATGATTTTGATTCAAGATTTAAACAAATTGAAGACACACTTGAAAAGAAGTTAAATCATACTGATCAATTGTTGCAAACTTTGTTGGACAAGGTTAAAAATTTAAATAAATAATTTTTTATGTTATATTTTTCTCATATATTTGTTTTTTAATATGATAATGTTATAATATCAATATATCTTTCTTTTAACGCATCTAACTAATTGATATTAGCATTTGGCCAGCCAAACGGCCAAAGTAGCTAAATTTTTATAAAATTGACATTGACCGTCCTCAATAAATTGATTTAACGTTTAAAAAAATTTAGTTTTGAAAAGAATATATATTTTTAACAGGATGCTTTTGAACAGATTATGATATTAATATATTAATATTCCCGTCTGCCAAAAACGTTGGGACAAAACATAGATCACATAAATTTCCGTTTTCACAAAATATTCAAAAATTCATAGCTCCATACGAAACTCGTTTGCCATTTGTACTATTTATTTTGCATTTACACGACTCGCAAATTACTTTTACTATAATATTTGATCTTTTGATTAAAAATAAGTTTGCCATAATAAAACGGTTGCACCTTGTGAAATTCCATCCTCTCTCGTATATGCACCATATATTTGCCCTAACATCCATAATAATTGTTAAATTTGTAAAAGGCTAGCAAGCATCTTGGATGCAGATTATACTGTAAATGCTTACCTTGTAAGTCTTGTTTGTTCTGTTTGTGGTAAGATTACAGTAGACGGTCCTACTTTCAATAATGAACTTTTGTTCAACCTTTTGATAATCGCACAATAAAATGGATGTAATAACGAAATCGATGAAATTTTATTTAAAATTAAAAAATAAAAAGCTGACCCATTTTGATCGCTATTTTCATAATCGGCAAAGCTTTAAAAGATTTTACAAAAAAAGTAAGGACAATGCTCGAATTTTGATCTATAGACCATATTAATTTATCTCAAAGTTCATTTTCATAGCACCCTCGAGGCTATTGGGAAGGATTATATGTAATTCGGTCGCAATTTGTTTTTTAATTGAAAATATACATCGTAAGAACCTGGGCTGTAAAAACTTTTTTTTTGGGGTGCTCTCTTTTTAGACAATAGCAGAGAAGATCCGGAATAGCTTGGAAAATAGGACAATGCAGAAGAAAAATTCGGATATCAAATTCTGATTACCATATATTTATTATAATTTTCAAATGACATCAGATAATCAGTTGAAAAGCACAAAAAACACCAATATATAGATTCACAGACCGATCTAACCAAAACAAGAAACAAGTATTAGTATATGTTTTACTAAAATTCCCATCATACACTTTTAAAGGCCTCGAAAAGCAATTCAAAAATGTCAAAAGATTATATTAAAACTAATTTAGAA